CTTGTGTACTCCAATTATCCCTTGAACAATGTTTTCATGGAGCTTCTTTCTCCTATAAGTACCCCGGTAGGGCCACCAAAAGTAGCAAGTTTGGGATAGTTGCCAAATGAAGTGTAATCCAAAAATCCTCAATGGCAGAACAGATGAAAGAAGACTATTCATCTTACCAGTTGCAAAGGTGGAAGAAGCCTACAATGACAAGTTTGTCCCAGTCATCATGGTTCAATTTATCACCAAAAGCCGATCACCAATCTATTGAGATTGTCTGGATAATGATGGTGCCCACATTCCCTAAACTAAACAGTATCATATGCAATTTTTAGTCCTGGGCGAGGGACAGACTTCTTTTTCTGAAGGGAAGGGATTTAAATCTTGTAGTCAGATTCATCAACTCCAATAGCTTTTGTAGTCATCTGGTTGGAGATTGTCCCAATGGGTGACTGAGTCGACAGATCTTGGAAGTAATTGGCACCTTCTTTGTTTCATTACTTTTGGTAATATGGGTAGCAGCTCACTAGTATGATTCAGCCCAGCTGTCCTGGACATGTCCCTCTGACATCTTGTTGAGATGTGGTTTCTTCTTCAAGAGGCTTCTCTCGAATGGTATTAAAGTGATTTTCCTCAAAATGGCTATTTCCAGTCAGCTTCGTCACAATCGAACAAAATGGATGCAAATGTGAATTTTGATGAATAATTGTCCCACATGGCAAAGTTAATTATATTGGATGTCCTTTCTGTTTCCTATTCAACATGTTATAAAGCAGAGGTTGATCCTTTTCTGAGAACCAAAACCAAAAAACCCAAAGATGAGCACCTCGCCCTATAATCTGTTAAAACAAGTGTGAAAAGGTGTGTAACCTGTCTTTCAGCAACTCTGGTGGTTAAACAAATAAATCCCTGATACTCACTTTACAATCAACAAGTAACAATTTATTTAGCTAACTCTAACAGTGAACAAATTAACCAAACTATTAACAAACCAAACAAATCCCTTCTAACTATTAACTATTCCTGAATAACGCAAGAGTCTAATAGTATATCGTTCCAATAAATACAAGTCCCACTTATATAACAAAACAATAGAATTTAGTTTCTCAAAATTACAGCCAGGTTACGTCTTCTAGAATGTTCTATATCTTCTCCGTCGATTCTTCTGTCAGGAAAGCTTTCTCTGTCAGGAATCTTAGCTAGGAGTGCCGTGGTACCGAAGTGAATAGATGGTGCTTTCTCCAAGAGTTGAGAACTGTTATCACTAGGAGACGGCAGTTAGCTCTGCCAAGTTTCCATCGGCCCCCTTCTTTTATACTCCTGATGACATTATCAAGTTCTTACAACCGGATTGGTCTTAGGTTGTCAAAACCATCAGATTCAAATTTGATAGATTTTTGGTATCTAAGTACCTGGTTCAAATTGATTGGCTAATTGCAAACACCTGTTGTCTTGGTAAAAATGCTGCTTGGCCTGCTAACAGTACAGCCTTTCAATACACATGTTTTAATTTGGGTGATCTCTGTATTGCAAACTTCCAAGCTGCTCACAGACATCTCCAAGCATAGAAAAAGCACAATCTTTTGAAGGGATCACACTATGCTTTCCACACCTAGCATTTTACAGACAGCAAATTCTAATGTCCTGGCTCCCAATCCCCAAATATTCTACCCAATTTTGCAACAAACACAAGAGAGGTTTTGAGTCTTCTCATCTTTTGAGTGCTCGATGGACAGTCTTAGAATTCTTGAATTATTTAATGACATTGCCTCTTAAGATAGTACAATCTGCTTGTCTGCCTTTTCTGGAGTTGAAATCCAGAAGATACATCATGTAGCCCCTGGAGGATATTTTGTAAGATTCCTTGTGTTCCTGTTAAAAAGATGCTAGCTTTCTTCACAAAATACATAATATAACTACACATTCATGACCCTGGTGTGACTCACCCACTTACTCTGAATTAAGTTCATGTAGTTTTAGTATGTGGTTGATGGCTGCAAGTGTCAGATCAAACAGCAGTGCTTGTTCAGCGATGATGTAATGGTGCTCTCTTCCTCAAGAGGCTGCTGTGACTTGCCAGGGAGTGGTCTGTGGATAACCGAATGAAACAAACTCTGAAGTGGAGAGTTGTACATTTGGTGTGATAGAAGGAAAGAAGTAGGAGCTCAGAAGAGGCGTAAGGCTGTAACAAGCCATTATCCTCAATGCTCTTGATAATGCCAAATGAAACATGCTCAGACATAAGTGTTTCCAGGATGCAAAGCACCACCAACTCCTGTGAAGGATTCAGGCCTGCAGAAGGGAACCCAAGTTTTTAGCTGTAACAGAAACAGGGATAATGGCTTCCAAATCCAGCTTCAAGACCTCAGCAACTACTGAAAGCTAAAACTAAAATCCTGTTTCTGTGGGAGCTTGACTCCACCCATTCATGTTGCTTCTATTATTCCATCTTTAAACAAAAAACCCAGAAACTCACAAGCTGTTTATTCTTTGGCTTGACCACTTGACAGCTCTGTCTCAACCTCTCTTCATAGAAAAAAGGACAAAATACACCTCTTAGAGCCATAGCATCATCACATATGGAGCAATTTGCATGGAGAGAGAGAGGGAATTAATTTTAGTGATGTCATTGCTTCGTATTTGGATAATGCATCCATCATGAGACTATAAAACCCAGGACCATAGTAGGCATTTTGGCTCATTCAGTATACTCCACCATTCAATGAGATCATGGATGATCAGATATTTCTCAACTCTACTTCCTGCCTTTATCGCATCATCCTTGATTCCATTACTGATTAAAAATCTTTCCATCGCAGCCTTGAATAGCTGAGTATCATACTGGAATAATTGGAGGTATGTGGAGGGAGTGAGAAATTCATGTGAGGCAGGTATCATTGAAAGGTTTAGGTGTTGAGGTGTCATATCTGAATGTAACAATCAGTCCTAATAGCTAGGAAATGCAGCAGATTGAGTATAGGGACGTGGATAGTGGTGTATGTCATGAGAAATTATGTTAATTGACCTTGACCAACAAGCTGAGGTCATTGAATGGTTTATAGCACTGGTTTGTAAGATAAAAATTCATCTTCCAAACACCTCCCTAAATCCCAACCACACTATATCTCAGAGATAGTAGGAACTGCAGATGCTGGAGAATCTGAGACAACAAGGTGCAGAGCTGGATGAACACAGCAGGCCAAGCAGCATCATAGGAGCAGAAAGGC